CAACCCTGCTATGAAAAACATCCTAAAGGAAGTTCTGTGGACTGAGAACCAACAAGAACACTTAACAACTACAGCATGACATACATGGCAGCATCAACCTGAACTCAGTCAACCAATGAGTCAAGAACAGAATAAAATGATAAGAGGATCTGGGAGGTCAGTCTATGATCAAAACAATTACAATGTGAAAAAACGTAAACACAGAGATCCAGGAGGTGAGAAGATCAGGGACATTACTGGATAAAATAGACTTTCTTAAATGGAGGGAAGAACAAATGGAATTTAAGGTAACCACAATGGGGTTGGGGTGGAGGGTTATTTTGGGTGTTAGGGAGGGCAATACAAGAAGGGGGTAGGAGGCAGAAGAACAAGATAGCTAGGGCAACACAGAGACAGGTTTGCATGGCCTAGTGGGACAGAGGTAAACAGTGATGCATACTCAACCATGGAACAACAGGGCTCTGGTATACAGGGATCTAGGTAGGTATAGCTTCAAAACGGTAAATAATACTAAAATCCTTACTGCCTTATGAATATTAGTTTCCCTTGCCTACTATTGTAAAATAAACACTTGAGTGGGATAGAAAGGAATGTTGGGCAACATGATTAGAGAAAACTTGTAAGCCTGCCTTCAGCCGATAACTGATTGGAATACCTCAAAGGGATTCTACAACTTGCCTTTCCTCTGTGCCATATCTGCACAGAGGAAAGGCCTAGTATTGCAGGGCTGCAAAGCATTGTGCTGGGCAGGAAGCACGGATGAGACCATGGAAGGTTCTGGGAGACCATCTGCACCCCAGACAGGGGATGTGGTCTCCAGACACTCTTCTACTGAAATTGGGCACTGAGAAAGTTGTGCTTCCAAGATGGTTTTACTACAGTCTGGACGAAGCACAACAGAGGTCAAGGCCGAATCAACCATCCTCAAGCCATCGTTACAAATGAGGGCTCCCTCTCAAGATTCACTAACTACCTGTTAGTCACCAATGAGTGTACACTTTCCCACACTTTGTACATTCATTAAAGGAGCTCTCCACTGTGAGTCTGCATAAGTGTAATGTGGTGTGAGGAATTCTTAAAGGCTGTCCCACATTCCTTACATTCATGGGGCCTCTATGGACTGTGAGATTGCATATATTTATTGACGGATGAGTAACTATCAAAGGTTTTCCCACATACTTTACATTTACATGGCCTCTCTCCATTGTGGATTTTTCTATGTGTTGTGAGGCTTGACCCTTGAGTAAAGGATTTCCCACACTCCTTAGATTCATAGGGGCTACACTGTGGATTCTTCTATGCGTTATGAGGTGTGAAAGTCAATGAAAGGATTTCCCCCAATCCTTGCATTTATAAGGTGTCTCTCCACTATGGATTCTTCTATGTTTTGTGAGGTGTGCTAATTGAATAAAGGCTTTCCCACACTCCTTACACCCATAGGGCCTCTCTCCACTGTGGATTCTTCTGTGTGTTCTGAGGGATGACGCTCGGAGAAAGGCTTTCCCACATTCCTTACATTCATACGGCCTCTCTCCACTGTGGATTTTTCTATGTGTTCTGAGGTTTGATGCTCGGAGAAAGGCTTTCCCACATTCCTTACATTTATAGGGCCTCTCTCCAGTATGAATTCGCTTATGTGCATTGAGTTCTGTGGATGAAATAAAGGCTTTTCTACATTCCTTACATTCATAGGGCCTCTCTCCACTGTGGATTCTTCTATGTGTTCTGAGGACTGTCGCTTGGCGAAAGGCTTTCCCACAGTCCTTACATTCATAGGGCCTCTCTCCACTGTGGATTCTTCTGTGTGTTCTGAGGTTTGTCGCTTGGAGAAAGGCTTTCCCACACTCCTTACAATCATATGGCCTCTCTCCACTGTGGATTCTTCTGTGTGTTCTGAGTGTTGATGCTTGGACAAAGGCTTTCCCACACTCCTCACATTCATAGGGCCTCTCTCCACTGTGGATTCTTCTATGTCTTGTGAGGTGTGAAAGTCGATGAAAGGATTTCCCACATTCCTTGCATTCATGAGGTCTCTCTCCACTGTGGATTCTTCTATGTGTTGTAAGGTGTTCTAATCTAATAAAGGCTTTCCCACACTCCTTACATTCATAGGGCCTCTCTCCACTGTGGATTCTTCTGTGTGTTCTGAGGGTTGACAGTCGGAGTAAGGCTTTCCCACACTCCTTACATTCATAGGGCCTCTCTCCACTGTGGATTCTTCTATGTGTTCTGAGGGTTGACTCTCGGAGAAAGGCTTTCCCACACTCCTTACATTTATAGGGCCTCTCTCCACTATGAATTTGCTTATGTGCAGTGAGGGCAGTGGATGAAATAAAGCCTTTTCCACATTCTTTATACTCATAGTGCCTCTCGCCACTGTGGATTATTCTATGTCTTGTGAGGTTTGAGAGTCGAGGAAAGGCTTTCCCACATTCCTTACATTCATAGGAACTCTCTCCACTGTGGATTCTTCTATGTGCACTCAGGTCTGAGGATTCTCTAAAAGTTTTCCCACACTCTTTACATTCATAAGGCATCTCTCCACTGTGACTACTTACACGTTGAGGGAGGGAGGAAGCCTCAGGAATTGCTTTCTTACTTTCAGAAGGCTTCTCTCTCTTATGAGAGTTATTATTTAAAATGAGAGATGAAGGACTAGTATGCATTCTAAAACATTCTTCATATTTGGATTGATGACCTTCCAAAGGTGTCCTAACTGGTGAGAAACTACAGAAAATTTCCATCCACTTGCTGAATTCATACCCTTCAATACTGGTGATTGCTGAGACAGGATTCTTGAGGACTGACATACAAAGGAATCCTTTCCCACATATCTTACATTTACGGGTATTTTTCTCTTTATGAATTGTCACTGTATTGGTCAGGTGAGAAGGACACCTGCTGTCTTCTCCACAGTGTGGACATTGACAGATACTGCTTCCAGTGGGAGCGCTACAATGATTGTTCTCTTGGGAATCATCCAGGAAGGCTCCTCCATACTCACAGCATTCAAAAGGATCTACTTGGTGAACAGAAAGACCAGGAATCAGGCTGGAGGTTTCTCCACTCTGGGTGACTTCAGAATGTTCACCCAGGTTCTCAATTGCACCAGTTCTGTTAAAAACAGGTAGTGTAAATGTAAAACAATGGTGTCCTCTGCAAAGCATTCCACTGTCAACAAGGAGACAAGAAAAATAAATCATTTATCTTGTTGGAAATAAATGTCGCATGACAGCATTACCAAACACAATGAACATGCATATATTTTCCCTGAATTGTCTCAAGAGTCATCTAGGACAACGACTACCATTTCCATCAATCTGCACCTCTTCCTGCTCATTGTGTCCAAGTGAAATACGCTTTACACATTTCGCTGACTTATACTTATGGAAATGTTCTTATAATGTGAATTTTCACGGAACCCATCCATCATTTTACAGCCAGGATTGTACACATATACATATATTCATGGGTCCTGATGAAGGATTAACACTAGGCAGCAACCTAGATTTGAACCACAAAGTGGAACGACTTCATGGCATGTAACAACAGCTACTCCTTGGAAAGTGTTGCTAAAAGTCAGAACTGACTCAGCAAACACAACACATATACATCAGTTGGCATCAGGGATTCAAACCACTTTGGAACAACTCAGCAATTTCCAACATAAATGAGAAAGTGTTGAGATTGCATAGCAATCAAAATTGTTGCTTTAATAGAATTTGATTTGGTGAAGAAATAATCACTGGTACTGCATTCAAGGATGGTGAGCAAACCACCAATATGAACGGTGTCGCTCTACACACTTCTACAACACCAAACACCTGCATGGATGCCAAGAGTCTTACATCACACACTGGATATGTTGTAGGACATTTAGAGCTGTGCATCCTGCCACCATATCTGAATGGCACACTACTGACATTTTCTTAATTGACTCAAAATTTAAAAGGAAAGAGATTTGACTGTTGGGAAATGCATATGCAACCTTCGTTTGTCCAGCAACTACTCAATCAAAATTGTTCACAGAATGATGCAATTTAAAGACCATGGAGTTCTTCTTGAACTATTTGGAGCCCCCTCATTTCAGTGTATTTTGATATTATGACACCTCCTGAGATTTTGTGAGGCACTAATTTCTGTTGTTGGAATCACACTCACCTCAAATGTCTCCCCTGGTTGTCAAGGTGATCCTTCCAGCCATGTGATTCCATGACTGCACCTGTGATGCATAATAACCCGGTGTTACTCTTCAGACATTGTATGATTAAATGCTCACTGGGTAACTTTTCTCCATCATTAATGTTTCCAGCCACTGATCCAATCATTCAGGTTAAAGTCCACAATTAGAATCAAATGGGAATGATTAGAGGAAACAGAGGTTCCTAGTAAAAAAGACTCAGCCCCATTTTGCTATTCCAGCACTCTGACAAGTCTTAAAATGCAACGTACTAGGAAATACTTCTATCAAGATGGAGAGGGACAGTAACATACACAGGTATCATTAGGAGAGCTAAGTGGAAAGGAATTAGACATACCACACATGTAACGTTACAAAGGGAAAGGGTCTCCGTGCCCACAGGTGCTAAAGGACAAATAAAATCAACAGAATAAGTTCAGGTATCTGTGAAGTTGTATCTGCAAGCCAAAAGTAACTTTTTGAAGCTGACTGATTTCCTTCATTCCTGGGCTAAAATTATATTTCCTCGGGCTTCTTGATACATGGGCCTCAGTGACTGTGATTTCCAGTCTCCTCAGACTTTTCCTTAGCTTCTCTGAGAAAACAAATGGGTAGAAATTCCATGGAGCTCAGAAGACCCAGTGTGCTGGGGTAGGGAAAATCCCCCAGTCGCCTCTAGGAAAATGTACACAAGTTCCCTCAGCATTGAAACCGATGCAATGGCAGTTCACAACAGTGTTGAGCTCATGAAGAAATGTACATCGCAAGGACGACCTTGATGACCAATGAAAGATTCCTTGTCACCATGATAGCACTCTGTTCTCTAGAAGCTCAGAAGATTGACAGGTGTGAATTCATTTACATCAAAATTAGGACACCAAACTTGTCAGAAACCCAGTAAAACTCTCAGAAAGGCTCCCACAGGACAAGTCTCTCAGAGCATGAAAGTGTCCTCTGAGGTCAATGTTATGCTGATGGCACTTAAAGAGGTCTAAGAATTTTTTAATTCACAAGAGAAATGAAAGCACTGTTTAGTGCAGACAGCTTTGTACTAGGGGAATCCTGGATGCATGAGCTCTATACAGAAGGGGACCATGCCTTTTATTTTATGGGTGTTACCACTGCTCATTCCATATAAGCAAGCACAGTTGATGAGTAAAATATTTTTGTTCACTAAAGGAATAAAAAAAAAAAGGAAGATGCCATTCATACCGACTGAAGCCAGGTTTCTCAAGGTTTCCATCATCACGTCTCTGTAGAGTTTCCTCTGAGTAGGATCCAGCAAATCCCACTCTTCGTGGGTGAAGACCACAGCCACATCTTCAATGGTCACTGTATCCTAAAACATCCCACACATTCTCTGTCAGCAAAGCAGCATAGACTCCAACATGTCTAAGAACAAAAGGTGAGGCTGACATTCCTGGGACATGAGAGTCCACAGGTACATAACACCAGGTTCTGTGTTCTCGCAAGATCTGCCTAAAGAACACCGATTGGTTTTGTCCCTTTACTGATGACATTCACTAATTCACTGACTATATTGTCATAAAAACTCCGCGCACTCTGAAATAGACTCTCCAAAATTTTACTATAACGACAGCAGTCTATCCCTCTCTGTGTATGGTCTACAACAATTATAAAATATACCAGAAATGAGAGAGATGATTAGATCACATTCCTGTTGTGAATAAGCCATTCTACTCCTTCCATAGACCAACCTGATCCTCCACAAGCAGGAAGCACTAGGAGGGTCAGGGGAGGCCCTAACAACTCCGAGACAGTGCAGAAAGGCAGTCCTTCAGCACAGAGCTGACCCCACAAGGATTCACGTCCAGATTTCCCCACTGAAGAGGACAGACACCCCAGTTATCTACAATCCCAAACCCATCATGTTCCAGTGAATTCGGACTCATAACAACCTTATATTTCCATGTGCCATCGAGTCTGTCCCACACACATTGATCCTCCATCAGGTTTCCTAGGAGCGGCTGGTGGGCTTGAACCGAGGACCCTGAGGACAGCGGTGCAGTGCTGATCCCAGGACGCCCATGGACTCACCATTCTCACGCTTCACCTTCGGGAAATCTAAGAGCAGGTCCCCGACAGGACCCGGAGCTCGGGACACGTTGGGAACAGACACACAGCGGCCATCCGCGCCTCCAATCCTGGTCCTTTGTGGAGCGGAGTCGCAGGCTGGGCTCCTCTCCCTGCTCCACGTGAGACCGGAAACCGGAAGGGAGATGGGCGGAGTCAGTGGGCGTGTCCCAGGGCAAAGGCCAAGGTTACCAACAGGAAAACACACCAAACCTGAGCTGGGAATATAAGGACTGACAGTAACAGGATTATGGGGATTCCACACTCACCAATCCGGGTCCCCTTACTCTGCGGAATGACAACAGCACTTTGCACCGTAAGGACGCACACCACGTGACCAGGGACGCACACCTTTCACTAGAGGACCTAACAACATCCGCTGCCCTACTACCTCTGACCTTTAGTCTCCAGGAGCCTGAGAAAGAGGGGGCAGAGCACTCGGCCCTTAATATGAGTCTGCGGGGCATCTGCGGGTGGTGGGGTGGAACCAGCCAACGGGAGATGGAGTCCACATGTACCTGCAGCTGGAGCAGAAGGAAGCCCAATGAGAACTCAAACTTCCGCTTGCGGTATTTGTGCTGGTTTGGTGCATTAGAGAAATGGTTCCGTTTGGAAACTGGAATCTCGCTGATTGTTATCATTTTGATCAGTGGATTCTCTGGCATTTGGAATCTGGTTAAGATTCTTGTTCCCTCTACGGAGAAAAGCATAGGGTTTCTTCAACGAGAATATGAAGGGAAATTCGGATTTCAGTCATCCAATATATGCTTGTGGGGCAAAGAAAGTTCCAAAGTTCAGATCTGACCCTTTGAAACAGTTTTACTGTTTTTGGCAGACAGTGTCTTTGCTCTTCATAAACATTTCCCCATATTGAATTGTTCACGTCTCTAGTTTGGCTTCTGTTTCAGGGATTGTCATCGCTTACATATCCTCTGTCTTTCCCCAATGGCATGATTCACGCTAATAGGGACAGCTTAGGGGCAAGGGGACAGGGAGCTGAGCCTGAGACCATGATGGAAAATATACCATCAGCTGTGAGAACAACAAGGAACCCCAAACACCAGCCAGTCAGATGTTCTGTCAAAATAGCACGAGGTACAGACAACCACAAAGAAAACAGAAGGTGTATCACTCCATTCCTGACAAGCCTGTGTCCTCTTACTAACAATCAAATAAGCATTCCTCCACTTTAATAAGACAATCAGTGAGGGGCAGCCTCAGACCTGCCCCTAGGAGACAACATCTGGGACCAGGAATAGAAAACTGTTTTTGATGCATGATCCAGAATCCACAGGGTCTTTTCCACTCACATAGACAGACCCAATTCTGTCTTTGAAGTGTGCTTTTGCTGTGCAAAAACGGTTTCTGACCGAATGCTTGTCATCTGTATGAAACTGAGAGGCAGTGATTCGGGTGAGACTGATTCTTCAGACTCCTGACAGAAAGCGAAGAAGGAGAACCTAGTCTGATCTCTATGAATGGTGAAGACGCTCAGAGAGTTTCCCAGGGTGAGAGGTAGGAAGATGCCAGCTGTTCTGAAGGCCAGTAGGTAATAGCAGAAGTACCCTTGAAAACGGTAGTTACAGTGATTTATTTTTATATATGCCTTTAGCATACTATGCAGTGATCTTCGGGGTACAACATGATCAGTATCAACCTTGATACACAGTCATAGAATCTACCCTGCCATAGAATATCATCACTGACTGAAAAATAATCCAGGAAGACATAATTGGGAAATGTGAAAGGAAAGATTTAGCAGGGAGACTTGGCGAACATATATGTGGGATTACATACATGATTGATTAAGGTGCATCTTTGCAAACACTTGCTCTTCCGTGTGTTTCACTAAGTCACAGGAAAATGGCAAGACAGTTCTCGGGGGAGAAGGGGGCTGGAAGCATTGGCAGTGAGGACCACACTGGACCATGAGCTCAGCACTCAGCTGTCTCTCCCATCAGTGCCGAGAGTGTACACATGAGCCGCTACACTCACTAGAAGCAAAATGACACCTGAACCACCCACATCCAGCAACGCGCACAAGAACTGCTGCCCACATCAATGTGGATGAACCTTAAAGCATCCCAAGGAAAGTCTCTTTAGAACCAACACAGAGGAATACTTCAATTGACAGAAAGCACAAAAGAGGCAAAACTAAACAATACAGAATTCATGGATTAAAACTTGAAGGATTAACCATAATAATACCACATCAGTGATTTGGAGGACCAGTTGCTCCTCAGAAACCCTACTGAGCATCACTATGAGTCAGAACTTGCTCGAAGGCATTTAACAACAACAGCATGTGGTGCTGTGAGGTCAACACTGGATTGCTAACCACAAGGTGGATGGTTCAAATCCACCAGCCGCTCCTTGGAGACCTTACTCATGTTGGCTGTGAGAACCAACTCCATGGCTTTGAACCACAAACATCTAAATACAGATTGTGCTGCTCTTCAGGCTGGAGATGATATGATCATGGTGGGACACACTGAAATGCCATGAAAACTGACCCAGATCTATTTATTGGCAACTTCAACATCTAGCTAAATTGAACAAGTAATGTTCTTTTCATAGGTCAATTGTACAAAGTCATGTGAAAACCCCTCCATTTTGGTTTTACTTTAGTTTACTTCACAAGGACTTGGATATCTACACAAACACCTGGATCTTAGGAAGTTCCATTTATTTTTACTGAAACAAGTGTTTTAAACACAAAGTAATGAATGACCCATTCACTGAGACACAGTTAACAATAACAATAAAACTAAAGTCACACTGATATAGTGTTCTGGTGTTACGTAAGAATTCAGTTGTTATGCTATCAAAGTGTGTCCTACCATGATCCTATCTGTGACTTTTTAACACCGGATAAAATA